ACAGATCGATCTGGTGATAAGAGATGATGGGGGTAGGTTATATGATCGAGGAAAGGCAAATCTGAGCCCACTATGCAATAAAAACTGCAGCTACCTCCCCTAATGTGTGTAATATTGAAGGAAAAAAAGAACTTTTCATGTCTTGCTACTTTAAAATTCCAAAAGGTTCATTCTTCCTTTGCTGGTTACTTAACCATGTTTTTTGTTTTGCTTTGGTTCTGGTTGAGATACTAAAGGTTGTTTATATATGAAAAGAACAGACACTTATAGCTTTGTATGCCTCAACTGTAGCTTAGGATCCAGTGTTGTAGTGCTTTGCCTAATTAAAAAAAACTAATCAATAATAGTCGTTCTTTCCTTATGATTTGAACTCTGAGAGGGCCATTGATTCTTGATCTTAAGGTGACCCCATTTTTCTATGCCTCATGCTCATGCTGCTCTATGTTCCTTTTTTAAAAAAATTGCTTGCATTTTGGGTTGGTTTTCTGCTCTATGTTCCCTTTTAGCGTTTCTTTCCATTGTTGCTGCACTCCCTTTTCTGTATACTACATGATCTTTTTGTATCTCATTCTGCCGCTTCTTGGTTATTAGATGCTTTGAGTTTGAGTGGCTTGAAGATACAGATTACACAATGTTCCGTTCTATCATATGCCATCTTGATATGGATACAATGTTAGCTTTTGATATGAGCTAGAATTATGTTGCCCCACCAGCCTGAAAATGTGATAAATAAAAGCCTACAATGCTCGTTTATTTGTATTTACAGGCTTCGTTGTGCAGATAATTTACTCTTTGTTCCATAGGATCACATTTGGTAGTGGCGTGACCTGAACCTTGATGCTTTCTTCTTGCTGCTGCTGCTGTATTCTGTAATGGAACTGTTAGATAAGGTAGTTAGTCTAGCCGTAGGTCTTAGTAGTGCAGATTCATTTTATTTTCTAGGGTGTGCAGAACAAAATCAGGAGATGGTAGTAACTGGCAGCTACTTCTGAGTACAAATTTTGCTTTTCTGGATTATCATATTCCTTTTGTTTCTCATAATGAAGCCGCCGGGCAGTGCTCCAATATTGTATTACTGGGCAGTGTTGGGCAATGCACGCCGTTGCCACCAGTTGCGCCTTGCGCGGCCGAGGGGCGCCAGCCGCAGGTGCTCGATGCGGCGCTCCCCTGTCACTCCTTCTGCGACCGCTGTAGGTGTTCCCCGGTCGTTCTTCCTCCTCCATTGGCAGGAGGGGCTCGGCTGCAGTTCTGCTACAGTCAATCTCTCTCTCTCTCTCTCTCTCTCTCTCTCTCTCTCTCTCTCTCTGTGCTCCACCCATCATCGTGGAATTGCAGGTCGTTCATTAACACTATTTGATATCTGAGAACTAGAAATGCTGAAATCTGAAAACTGGAATCTCCAGTTAACTGAATTTTTGAACGTTTAATCTTGTCTAACTATTTGTGAGGTTTATTGGGGTTTCCAGTAGATAAAACCTAACCCTATGTATTTATAAATGGAGCATAAATGTATTTATAGAACTTCAGAGAATATATTGTTGTCTTCTTCATATTCTTTTATTACTGGAGCCACCATACAAAACTCTCTAGAGCAGAACTCTATTTCAACTATAAATGACAGGAACAAAACTCTTATATATTTTCTGTGTGTGTAGATGCTTAAGCTTAAGCTTCTGTTATTTGCTTCAGTTAGAGATTAAAGAAGACTGAAATTGAGTCGATGGTGTATATACTTGATATATATAAATGGTCAAAATACGGAAGTGCTTTTATGAAAGTCAAATATGCAGTTGTCTTCCTGTTTGAATCTTCATTGTTGATTCCAAGTTTGCTGCTTCCCAGAAAGTGGAGATTTGTAGTACGGACAGAACTTCAACCTATTCAACATAGATCTTAAACTGACCAGACAATAGTATAATATTTTTTATTTACGGCCTTAGAATTGTATTGCCACAAAAAACAGATTTGGAATCTCAAAGAAAGCAGGTTCTTATGCTACATAATTGTTTCCTCTACTTATAGTTAACCTCTCTATTTTGTCGTCTCTAACAGCCAAGATGAGTGCTCTACGCTTACGGCTCATGCTAACTGAACTGGTGATGTTTCTTTCTTCACCTCGATTGACGCCACATGTTCCCCCTGGTGAGTCTTGATACCATGTTTATACAATTAAGATCGCCCTCTGGTTGCTAGAACACATTTGATTTATTGCAAATTTTGGTACACTATTTTGATAGGACTGTTCTTTGCTTACTGTTCACACTTACTAGGTGTTTTCAGAACGTTTGTTAGAGCATAGTTCATGTATCTGGTACCTTAGCATTGTTAGCTTTTAAACTTGTTTTATGTCCATCACCCAGACATCATCTTATGTTCTTCTCAATTTGTGTGCGCAAAAGTTGCAATTCCATGTTCTAGGCTTAGCTCACCAGATAACATGTAGGGAGTTCAATTTTATTTGTAATATAATGGTGGAATCATATATCTCTAAGGTGCAGTTATTAGTCAAGTGTCAGTAACTTGCTGGTAGTTCTATTATGTCATGAACTAAAATGTTAAGGAGATTTCTTCCGTTTTATGAATTAACGATGTGGCCAACTGTTGTGAAGTCTCAAAAATGAGAAATGGTTGTCCATCAGTTGGGCTCTTGATTTTCTGCTTGGTTTTGTGAAATACATTTTGATTAGGGTTAAGGTTGGCCTTTGGTCTCAGGTTGCCGCGCCGTCCTCGTCTTCGGCTTGCAAGGGACTGGATCTGGTGTGATTGATTCTTCCTCTCACAAGGTGGGTACATCCTCTGTTTCGATTTCTTTCACGAGTTTTGGTTTGCCTTACCGGATTGCTTCGCGTCTATACACGATTATACCCAAAGCTCACTTTCCTTTCTTAACTCATCTGGGGTGGCTCTTGGATCCATCTGTCCTGTTTAGGTTATGATGGCCGACAAACAGCTCCAAGTTCACGGGTCGCCAGACTCGCCGGGTGACGCTGGCTCCAATGGTGGTCTGTGAGCACTTGCCCAGGTCAATTGATATTTGTGGTGGCCCTTCTCTGTTTTTACTTGGAAAAATTTAGTCCGTATGTGCCTCAGTGATTTTTAAAATCAAAGGAAATGCTCTGTGCAGAAAAATACATATCTAATCTAGGGGGTATATGTAATAGCAGTAGATAAATAATAATGTTTAGATTCAGGCAGTATACTACAATCTGCCTTCTGGAGAGGGGTCTATGCTTGCTAAGTTCTTTGTACGGTGCCTTCAGGGAGGCTGTGTGGTGCCGACGGCGAGGTCTTCATAATGGCATCAAGTCACCCTTGCCATATGGATCATACAGCTAACCTACAGGAGTACATTTTGATGCTTCAAGTCTGAACCTATGTAACTTGTGAACTAATGCCTCCCTGAGTGTGTGTGTGTGCACGCGCGCTATGTTAAATCAAACTTCTTCAGACTACTGTGAAGTAATGCCACTTGTCATATTGACCAAATTTCATTGCTTGATGGCCATTTAGAGAGGCCATTTAGAGTTGTCAAAAATCTGGGACTGTGAAGTCTATTTACACTGTCAAAAATCTCGGACTGTTTTCAGAGTTGCTACAACAATGGAATTTTCAGTTTGACAAAACAGTTTAAACTGAAAATCTGGGACTTCACATTTGCTACAACAGAGTTGTCAAAATTTCAGTTTACACTGTTAGTTTGACAAAAACTGTCCAAACTGAAAATTCAGTTATAATGGTGTAGGCATTGTTAATCTTTGGGAATAATTGTAGATGTTGTGAAGTGATTTAGATGTCTGCTTTGCTGTGCATACTGGCATCAAATAATTCCAACTTAATTCAGTAGAAAATTGGTAACTCATGTAGGTTAGCATCAAATTATTGCCAGTAATACATTTATTGGCAATCAGTACATGCTCAGTGACTGAATTAAGTTGTAATCCTTTTGCTGAATTGGCCCCTGTATTACTGTAGTAAGCTGCTCTGGAACGTTGTAATCTTTTTGCTGTATGGCAGATTTCTATTGGCTTGATCAAACTTTGGCTGCAATACGGTAGTAGGTAGAGAAGTAGGTTTTTGCCCTGAAGTTATATTATTTATTTACAAGTCTCTCATGAAAGAGTATCACTCTATATGGATTTTTTGTGTTTGTGGTTTTTTATACTTGAAATGCTTCGATGGTTATATATAGATATACCCGGCAGCCGCATTTCCTATCTAGTGGTGGAGAGGAGAGGTGCGGCGTCAGCTGTTTTTAAGGCGTGGGTCGGCCCATGCAGCTGCACACGTGTGATCCTGGAGGTGGCGCGTGTCCGTGACAGTCCGCCTACGTGTCGAGAAGCGGCCACGATACTGCGGATGAGGGGACACGCATGAGAGAAGCTGCTAGTTCGTCCTGGACGAGGACAGTAGAGTCGTGTACGCACGATGCATGGCACGTGGAGCGGTGACACGAGACGCAGCACAACGATGGAGCATGTAACTGCAGTGCTCTCCAGGGACCAGCATGTCACGCATCACACGCACCGTGCAAAGTGTAGGTTTCCTATCAGGCTATCACCAAAATACGCCACTTTCTCCATAAATCAATGTCATCTGAGGTGCTGTTTAATACTAGTGGATCACAACGGCAGCAGATGAATACAACCCCTTACACGTTCAACTTCTAGAATGAGGTTTCAACACTATGAAGGAAAAACAATAGGTAGAAAACTCTATCCACGAAACCAAACTGATGCAGAACTTCCTCTGCCATGCCCAACAGCCAGGTAGAAAGCTCTTCCAACTGTGGCCCAAGCGGTGAAGGTTATGGAACTGCAAGAACAAGAGCCCTAAACAAGTTAAGACATGGCGACAAGGGCACCACTAAAACGTCTTATATTAGTTTACAGAGGGAGTAATTTGCAGGCAATGGAGTGGATGGCAGAGGTTTAACTTACAGTTACTTGGAAATTGTTTTAAAAAATGCAGCAAACTAAAGATGGTTTGAAAGAAAGCTCACCTTAAGCTTGTTGCTGCTTCTTGTCAAGAATTTTCTTCCAGCGCTTCTGATCGAGCATCATTGTCATGTCTTGCCAGCTGAGATGAGCAACAAATCATATGATTAAACTCAGACAGTTATAAAGGATTTGGAAATAGTAGGTCCAGGAATATAAAGAAAATCCCCTTCAACCCACTAGCTTTGTTGCCAATCCAACCAAATCAATAACCAAACCGCGTACCCAATTGAATGGACAGAACGTGCGTTATAGTAAACCTTTTTCTAAGACATAATAATTTTAAAGGCAGATTTTATGAAGACCACAAAAATATAGTGGAGATCTCACAAGCATAGTGACTTGTCTAGAAATAAAAGGTTTATTTGTCAATTTTGACAATCAATTGGTAGCTCAACTAGCAAAACATCAGATATGTATTGTGAAAATTTTGACAAAATGCCGCATCTTAGATCGGCCTCTGCCCTCCCCCTATAAATAACAACTTGAATGTACAACTCAAGTGTGCAAATCACACATGCCTATCCCAGAATTCCAGGTGCGGACAAGCTTTTGCTAGTCAATAACACAAATGGGTGCCATCCTTCGTGTTTTCTTGGATTGAGACTTTGAATACTCAGCAGTTCAATCCCGTCAGTCAAGAATAACCTCACTACTACTTAACATAATGAAATAGTTCTGCATAATAGTCCTTTTTCCAAGAGCAGCAAATAGTTTATAAAGAAGGTTGATGTCAAAACATCAAAATAGAAGTGGCTTGCTGGAATGGAGGTGCTTGACAGTGTTGAAGACAAAGACAAGTGTATGGGCACATGGTGTAGCACAAGGAGTCTTGCTATAGGATTAGAGAGCATCCAGTCCTATTCGATGAAACAATGGATAAGATCACACTAGGAAGCAAGGTCAAGACGGTGTTCTTGAGCCTCAGCAAGTTCAACAGCATCACAGAGAGCTCATCCAGAAGTGCAACAAGCTGTAGGGGAGGTAGATCAGCTCTCCCAGGCGGAATGGAACTGGGTGCTGACAACTTGAGGACTATGTGCCAAACGCACTTGAGCTCCGTGGATCAGGGTCAGGATAGCGGTCGATAATTAAGGTTGCCAAGTATCACAGGTAGTGGAGCTGGAGATCATGCACCTTGAGAAGGTAGGCTTCATGAACACAGAAGGTTACTCAAACTATAGTGCATGCCCCTATGCAATGGGCAGGTGGCTAGCCAGAGGATACAACAAACATACTTTGTCCACAAGCATGAACTTTTAGAACATCACCAAGATAGATTAACTAATAACCACAACTAGTATCTTCTCTGCAGGGTAAAATAATTTTCTTCATGGTATGTAAGTATTTAACCTGTATGTGCATACCATCTTTACCATTGTTACAAATACAGATGCACTAGCGAGTATAAGGATGAGCTAATAATATTGTTTATGTTTCTCAGGATAACACAAGTTTTGAAGAGAGGTGCATTAGATACAGCAACTATACTTGCATTAAATGGAAAGGATAAAAATCACTTGATATTGATAGTGGTTTTGTTTAACTCGGCTGCTGAATTAAAGTTCATAGCAGCTTCATAAATAAATTTGGCAGCAGATCTTCCTAATTTCTCCATCCAGTGTACAGATAACGAGACACATTCTGTAAATTAAGTCTTGGAGGCCTATAAATCTATAGCTGTCAGCGGTATCTTACATATTTATGAGCACGATGTTGCTCGCTCAACTTCAGCTTTCCTGGATAAATTTATTTCAGCGCACACTGAAACTAGGGCGCTCTATATAGTCCTTCTATCAAAAAATCAAGTTCAAAAGCCCAAGAGGCCAAGACTGCACTACAACTATCAGACAATAAACTATGCACCCTTAACCTCATAAAAGGATGGATATAAGGAACTAGGACAAGATTATTCAAAAAAAGATTTCTCTATGTCAATTCTTGTGCCATTACTTTACACTAGTACAAAATTAGGTCCCATACTATCTGCAGTTTAAACCAGTCATATCCTATTAACATGCATACACATAAATTTCACAAAACTTTGTGTGGTAGTCTGTGATATAAAAATTAACTATCAAACATCACTAAAAATGCAACAGAAAGCATGTGGACAATCGAAGCCAAATCCGAGATTTTGTTTGATCAGCACGAAGTACATAGTTGACAACCTAGCAAAACAATAAGCAATGCTAAGTTAAAAAGCATATCATGGTGGCATGCCACATGTGACCCTTGCATAGGCACACAATCTTGTCTGAAGCATATACCCAATTCTTCCCAAAATCTGAGTTGGATTCATACACCCTTGTTGAGTATAACATTTTAGTTGTCCAATTTGTTTACCATATAAGACACTCCAGTCCATGCCGTATTATAACACCTGTTTCCAAGTAATCCAAGTCTAAACACTGCCAGAAGGGCAGGTATTTATAGAAGACAAAGATAGCAAGAACTAGTTGGGGAATGGCTAGGCTCAGCATAAAGAAGCTAAGGTTAAGGGATGCCAATTTACTAAACCAGGGAGAAACGTTTGACCGAGGAAAAGACCTCCTAGTCCCAAGCAAAGCACATCCAATGGAGATATGGTATCTGTTGATACAACCAGGACGACCGCAAATAGGGCGTGCGCTGACGACCAGGTCAACTAATACTTTCACAATTCAGATAATCTTTCAAGGCACATATTGGTCGATTATAAAGGCACCTTCAAGAACATATATATCATCTATCCAATCTGGAGGCCGCCAGCACAGTAGGTTACATCAACGGAGCATTAACACTGTTCAAACAGCAATCTTAAAAACAGAATTCCCATAACCTGGTACTTCTAAATCCAGTAAGATGGGTAGGTAATTCACTGCAGCTCTAGATATATAGATAGATGATGCCAATCAATCTCAATCAAGAAGACAAAAATTCATATAAACCTAAGCGTGAAGGGCGGTTGGTGATAGGTAGTACTAGATAGAAAGGCATGCCTGTGGGGGAGGGACTTGAGGTTGGAGGCGAGGCCGGTGACGTGGTGGTGGACGCAGGCGGCGGCGCCGAGGGCGAAGGCGCCGGTCCAGGTGGAGATGAGCCGCTGCGGGTCGGAATGCGGCACCGCGGGGTCGCCCCTGTACGCCCGCGCCCAGTAATCGTCGAACTCGCCCATCCTTCTTCCCGACCTTCTCGAAAGTTCTCCGCCCCTTTCGTCGGCGAGGAGGCTGCTCGGGAGGAAGAAGGGATTGATGGGGTTTGGGCGTGACGAGATTGAGCGCAGGGTGAGCAAGAGAATATCGTGAACCCGGTCTACGAGATATGTGCCGTCTTGTGCTTTGCGATTTGTGCTACGGGTTGCATCGGTGCTCCTTTACTGCTCGTTTGGCAGACACGTGTTGAAATTTAGGAATTTATCTTTTGAATTCAATTACCGCCAGTCCTCGGAATAGTAAAAAATCCTGATAAATTCAACTCATTTTACGGAAATCAGGATAGCCCAAAAAAGTGAAAAGGCCTAGATTGATAAACCCACGCCATCTACTTAAGGAAAAACTACCATTTGTTACAAGCATTCTATTTGGAGGCCTAATAATTGATTTTGTTATAATAGGAGTTGTTGCGGACACCCGCCGCCGACAACAATTTCTTCCTTCGCCACTCCTCTTTACTCTCCCAAATCGAATTTATCACGTCGACATCATGCACTGATGATAACTTGTCAATGTGCAACGGTCAAGCTGGAGGAGCCTCCACCTAGACGAGGTGGAGGTGGACAAATCTTCTTATTCTACTTTGCTCCACAAGCCCGACAATTTCATTGGGAGGCAACGACTCCTGACATTATAGTGCTCACACCCAAACTCTGAGATGACAAACATGCAATGAAGTCGACATCGACCTACATTTTCTTTTTGGCTTATCTTGATGTCGATTTTGTGTTGCATGAATACGTGGATGGTACGAGTGCACCCTCACTGAGGCTCTCGATAGGATACTAAAGGAGTGGTGCTTAAACCACATGCTACGCCATGACGATCGGCGCATGGCCATGTTGTCCCCAAGCCCAAATGAGAGTAGATAATCATGTTCATGGATTTTCTGAAGTGTGGCTTTAGATTGCTACCTCCAAAGTTCTTTTGGGATGCGCTCGAACTCCTAAACATCGAGTTGGGTTGTGTTATGTGAAAGTAAGGGCATGCCCAATTGAGATTTCTTCCTTATCCAAGGAAAGCTCATAGCCTTTAAAGCCATTTGAAATTTTATGAACCATTCCTTGTTTAATTAAGTTCAAGTGTTTGATATTATACCCCCGAACCAAAACTCTCATTTCATAGGGGTGTTCAAAGAAGGGAAGGGATCCCTTCTTTTTTTATTGCAGTTTTGTCCTTTTGCTCATCGTCTCTGCTCATGTAATATGAGGCGTACTTGGGAGTGAGGCCCTACCTTTCTACCTTCTGCCTGGTTGTGTCGACAACAACTCCCCCTCAAAAGAAGGATGTGTCGGTCTCATACTCCGGCAAGGGGTAAGTGGGAAATACAACTATGCCAGTGTGAGCGAACTGGGTGTTGTTTAACCTAACCATTTGGATTTAAGTCCTAGACTTGAAGGCACATCTCGATTTGTGAAAATGGTCATGAAAATCAAGCTCAAAACATATGAATGCATCAACAATCCTTTGAGAGAATTTGATTTATTCAACCCAGGGAAAAAGAGACTTTTCACAAGCTAGTTGTGTTATTTTACAGAATGAGCTAGTTGTGTATTTTCTTACAGGCTGATCTACTTGTTTTTACGATAAAGGGTTTCCCCCGCTTTATATTATAAAGCAAACACACGATACATCCAGCTCGCTGGGGCCGCAGCACAGAAAAGCCCAAAAGAAAAACAAGAAGAAAGAAAAGAAATAAATGCCGACACCGGCAGATCAATGAAGAAAGGAAGACCGGCAACCGCTGCACCCTCTGAAGAAGTACCACCACGCTCCCAGCATCTCGAAGCGCGGCGCACCAACAACACCTTCAAGAAGGAATGCGACGATGCCGCCGTTGTTGCCTGAACAAGTTTTAGGGTTTCCCAGGTACGCGAGGGATAGTGGGGAAGGGATATATCCGTTGCCCCTCAGGAAGGTACGACGGCGCCCGCAGGCGTCATCGCATCGGTGCCGACATGGATTTCTCCCGATCCACAACCACCACCACCACTCCAGACACTTCTAAGTGCACCACCCACGCAGCAACCCACCAGCATGTGCCACCACGGTTACCGGACCACCCTCGCTGTCTTTCTGGAGCTGCCAACACGAGGCCTGGAGAGGGAAAGGAGACAACGGCCACGAGAGCGGCCACTACTCGACCGGTGGGAGGGAACAACCTCCATCGCAAGAGCGAAGCCGACCGGACGCGGCGACAAGGACTTGTCGGGCCCTATGGCCCGGTCAGGCCCACGTGGGCCTAGACAGTCCCTGTCACCACGCTGCAACACGCCGAACAACGAAGTAATCGCGCCCGTATACCGCCGCCGCCTCGCCACTGCCACCAGGAAGCGACGCCGTCGAGCGCCGTGCCACCGGCCCGACCCAACCCAGACCAAGATCTGGGCTCGGTGGGCGCTGCCAGCCAACAGCGCCACCGTGCCGCCCCGCGACCAACGGGCGTGCCGCCGCGTCGAGGGCCATCGTGGCATGCAGCATCGCCGCCACCTTGCCACACCGCCGCCGGCCGAAGGGCACCGCCACCGGCCACCACCGCCCGAGCAGGAGGGTTAGTGCGCGGGGAAGGACAGGCCCGCCGCCGCCAGCAGCACCACACGAGCAAGGCCCGGCGGCGACCGTCGGCGGTGGCGGGGGGAGGGAGGAGCGAGGGGAGCGCGGAAGGGAGTCG